GCCAGGGGGCGGACTTTACATAATTATGAAGCACCAGCCCAGAGCAGCTTTCAGGGACTAAGGGCCACAGGTCCCAGGTCGCCTGTAAATGTGACACTTCTGCACCTTTTGGCCTGATTCGAGGCCCAAATGTTTGCATCACGTAAGTTCTTTCCCTGCTAATCATCACTTGCAAAGAAAAGCAACAGCTCTGCTTTTGAAGAAGCCTACACTTGTCACAGAGCGAGCAGGAGGTGGTGCCTTCGATTTCAGGGATGTTCAAACTCTGTGAGATATAAGCCCCGAGATGGGATTTGGATTCATCCTTGTGGATTACACAGATTCCGTGGAAATAGAGGAGGGAGACGAAAGGTAGAGGCAGCAGGAAGCAGCGACGGTCACCAGTCTGTCACCTCAAGATTCTCCTCCGGGGCTCAGCTGTCAGGATTTCTGTATTTCCTCTTACCTTGTCCTGTACATCTTTGGCAGAATCCCTGCTCCCTTCCCTTCGAACAACCTTAGCTCTGGCGCTTCCTAGCTGCATGACCTCGGGCACGTCACGTAACGGTTTTATGCCTCGGTTTTTTTCATCTATGAAATGGGAACATGAACGGCACCTTGTCATGAGGGTAAAGAGCTAGTGTATGGAAAAAGCTCAGAATAGTGTGCACCCCATCAGCACGATTAGCCATGATGACTGTTATCGGGGCTAGTATTATTCCTCCCCTTCCACAAAATTCTAAGCCCGCGTCCCCTGTTTATTACTAAAAGCCCTTTATGCAAAAGCATATACTGTCAATTTGTGCCTGACGTCCCTGCGCTCCCTCCAGGCAAAATCTCACCCTTGAGCACCAGAAAGTTCTCTCTTCCTCTGCGTGGGATGTGTGAGGAGCACAGCGGCAGGGGAATGGCACGAGAGACCTGTCAGTGACACAGCACACCTACAGAGGAGGCGGAATGTCCCCCTTCTGCTGGGAAGGGGTAGACGGGGTGCTCCTTGCTCACTTGGGCCCCTTGGCCTTCACCCACAGTCCTTGTCCTCACTTCCCATACGACAGAACACAGGACGTGAACCTGCCCAGTTTGGGGAATGGCTTCCTCCTGCACATCCTTAATCCCCTGGGCCAGCAGGGGCTTCTGGGGACAGATGCCTGTGGTGATCTCCTGACCCCTCTGCTTGCTGAGTGAAGTGAGGTGAAGGACAGGGTCCTTCACCTAGTGGTGTTCTGACTTTTCATCTGGCTGGGGGTGAAAGGGATGGATTCTGACACCTGTCTCCTACGGTTGTTGTGAATACACGACCGGAGCATAGAACAGCGCCTGGCACACAGTGAACACTCAAGAAACGACGGCCCTTCTGGTTGGTGCTATGTTTCAAGCAGCTGCATTGGGCGGATAATGACAGCAAACTCTTATATGGGCTTACTATGCACCAGGCAGGCGCTGGGCTAAATATCTCACCTGTGTTCATTCATGTAATCTTCATACTAGTCCTATGAAGTAGACCCGATATCATCACCCCCCTCCTTTACATGAGCAAAATGAGGCACTGAGTGGTTAAGGGACTTGCTAGCAGGTCAAACAGCCAGCAAGCAGCAGGCCCCTATTTGAACCCAGCCAGTCTAAAATATGTGTGAGGAGATAGCGGCGGCTCTCACCCACCCTCATGTGCCCAGTACCTGTGGCTCTGGACAGGACATGACCCTGGGCAGCTCGGGCCTCTGCTTTCCAGGTTCCTGTCCCTCCACCCTTGTCTGGGCATGATGTGGACTGAAACGGAGTGCTGGTGGTGTAAGCCAGCCGTCAGGTTCCTTGCACGGCGTGCTCCCCAGAAGGATGCTGTGCTTGAGGGGGTCTCTCACTCTGTGGTAGTGTGAATGCAAGGGCGCTGCAGAAATCCCTGGGGCTGCCAGGAGCTGAGCTGCTGGATTTCCTGCCCTGACAGCGTCTAGTTTCCTTCTGTCACAAGGGAAGACAGAGTCCCCTGAGGGACTGTGGAGAGGAGAGGAGGGGACTTGCAGGGCCTGAAGAATGGAGGGGGATGATTCAAGGGGCTTTTATGAAAGTGCCTGGGACAGACAGAGATACAGGATACTTCCCCCCCTTTTTTCTCCGTGAACAAACCTAGGCCCAGAAAAAGAGACGTAAACGGCTGGCTCGTGGGGCTCGCTTTTTCACAGAACAGCCTCGCGTTTTCATAGACTAGGACGAGGATAGGGCCAGGGAAACTCAACAGGCACTAAATTTATTTCTGACCTGCCGGACAGCAGTGGCCAGAAACCCCAGGCCTGTGCGACATCCAGACAGTCTTTCTAGACAGCCCCCTTCCTGGGGGCTCCTGGACCTGTCTGGCCACTGAGCTCCCAGGAGGGCGAGGGGTGTGACCACCCTCCCTCCTTCCCTCCCACCACCCAGGCCCAGCCCAGGGCTGGCTATAAAGCTGGCCCAGCCTGGCTCTCAGCACGCCCAGCTGGGACCATCCTGGAGCCTCCTCAGGGGACACATCCGCTCTGTTCCTCCTTCTTCTGAGCAGCACCATGAGGTCCCTGTGGCTCTGCTGGGCACTCTGGGCGTTGCCCCTGACCCACCCCGGGGCAGCCATGACTGAGGAGCAGATCCTG